TATACCAATCATTTTCTTTTTATAATCAAAAGAATGACTGCTACGTCCAACCGAGCATCAACTTATTACAATATTCCGGTTCAATTACTGTTATAATCAAAGATTAGCAAGATCGAATTTCTTTTGAAAAATAATGTAGAGGGTAATAAGACAAAGATACGTAATTAAATTTTACATTTTTTTATAATTACTCATTATTTTCATTATTATATAAAATAGTCAAGTGTGATCTTAATCAATACTTAATCCATATCCACAAAAAAGAAAAAAAAAAAAGCTTTGTTTTGAATTGTGATACACAACAATTTTTGAGAGCAAAACCTTATCTAAAAAAAGTAAATTTATTATAATTATTTGATTTTAATTAATATTTTATATATTTATAGTACTAATTTTAATTAGGGATTTTCTAACATATGCCCTTAGAGTATAGGTTAAGTCTCATTTATTAATTATAATATTTATAATTAATTTTATATAAATTTTTATACAAGATTCAAATAAAATATAATATAAAATGTAAAAATATAATATAATATTTTACCTCAAAATCTGTAAAAAAATTATGAAAATTTATGTAAAATTAATTAAAGATACTTTAATCAATGACTCTTAAGGATACAAGTTAGATAAACCTTTTTAATTAATATTTTATATATTTATAATAGTAATTTTAATTAATATTTTATATTTTTTAAAAATAATAAAAAACTTTTTTTAAAAAAATGAAAAACTAACAACTACAAGTTAATGCTGCATAACAATCTTAAATGAAACCTTAATTAATAATGGCTTGTATATCTTATATCACTAGAAACTATAATTAACCTCTCCTCACCTTCTTAATCAATGTTTGATTTTTTTTAAAAAGTTAATGAGCTAATTCCAAATGAAACCTTAATTAATAAGGACTTGTATATCTTATATCACTAGAAACTATAATTAACCTGCTCCTCACCTTCTTAATCAATATTTGATTTTTTAAAGAAAGTTAATGAACTAATTCCAAATGAAGCCTTAATTAATAACGGCTTGTATATATTCTATCATTAGAAACTGTAATTAACCTACTCCTCACCTTTTTTAATCAACATTTGATTTTTTAAAGAAAGTTAATGACCTGATTCCTCAAGACTTTCCTAATTCTTGTGTAAGTTGTTGTTAGCCTTTGATAGGCCGGAGAGATTGATGAACTGTGTTGTACAAAAGCTTTTATAAGAAAAATAATCAAACTTATGGTGAGAATTGATCAGATTCTCTATCTCAAAATTTGACTATAGATGAAATGTGTTCTTAAGTTGAATATATGTAACACTCTTAGTAAAATTTCATATTAACAAATTATAGAATAGATGTTAGATATATAAATCAACACTCATTTACAAATAAATAATGATTGATACACATTTCGATTCAATATAACACATGATACACTCATTTAAAAATTATTGTTTTCTTGTCTAAAATTAATGGAAAATAAATTTAAAGATACATTTTTACGTACAAAACACAAGAATCAATTGAATTGAATTATACTTATATTATAATTTAATAGTTAAACAAGACGAGTGTCATAAAATATATTGAACTGAATGTATACTAATTATTTTTCCTAATTATATTAATGTGTTTTAAAATAGTAAGATCTAATAAGTTAAATTATCAAAACGGACAATATCACTATTGAACTAAGTGGGTACAACGAATATCATACATTATTGCATCTTAAAACTGTTCTGATTATGAGCCTTCGTAATGCTATTCTCCTACTAGGCTACAACTCTGAGTCAAAATTATATTTTTGTGCCCACTAGCTAGCTGAAACCCAATTCCTTTTCAATTCAAACCATCATTTTCACCGTAAAAACTCCTAAAAAACACATATAATTAGTCCTCTAGAAACCCTAGCTTGCACCGTCGTTTCTTACTTTCTTCATATATGTTACATTTTCAAAGACTTAATATATGTTCGGTCGGATTATATCCTTGTTTAGACCAGTCAAGCAGACAACTAGGTTACATCTGGGGCCATTGCACGTGCACATGTAGATTTTGCCATAAATCTAGGGTTTTCTTAATCATTCCAAGCTCTATTTATCTTCTCAACTATTAATTTACTACAAGAAAACTCAATCATCTTATTCTTAATCCTTTCTCTACTCTCAACTATACCATATATAATACGAGTTTATTCGTTTTACTTAGTTTGTTTAGGTGATGCTACATTGCTTTCTAGATGTTCAAACATCGATTTCCATCCCAAACATTGTGATCATGAATACAACAAAAGCTTTGTTGCTTGACGATTGATGATAAACATACCATATACCAATTAGAAAAAGCTTCGTTTTCAAGTTTGTTTAAATATAATTTTGTACTTAATCAGGAGTTATAATTAAGGGGATTAAGTCCTTGAGTTTATATTAAAGTCATTGATGTTGTTTGAATAGGGTGCAAAATTTCAAAGTCTAAACCTCAATATAAGGACTGCTTAGAATCAACAAGAGAGCTCAACTGTTAAGGACAAAAGAGATTGTCATTTCATGAGGATGATTGACAGAAGAAAAAAAGTAAGGGAGAGGGATGGGTCTTCAAGAAACTGATTTAATTTTATTTTATTTTTCACTTATTATAGATAATAATTTTGAAATTAATTAAGTTAATTGATCATAGGTGCGGAGACAACCTGGAGAAGCTAGCTAAAATAGAATTTGAGACAAGAAGTTAACTTATTTGGAAGATAGGTTCATTTGACCAAGGAAAGTAACCAATTTAAATTGTAGCAATGTAATAATAATGTTATAATCTGGTCCTACATCTTTGTTTTGTCTTAACCCATGATTGATTCTTCTTCTTGAACTTGACTGTTCATAATGGAAAAAATAATTTCAAATTCACCGCAAAATCCAAAAACCTAAACTACTAATTTTTTTTTTCTCAAAATATATAACTATTTTTTTATTTTAAATTTATCTTAAAATAACTGTTGTTTTTACATTTTTTAAAGTAAATAAGTATTTTTTTCTACTTTAATCTTATTGTTATCCATTTACTTTAATTAATATTCATCCTATCACAAAAAATCTAATCTGATCTTTTATTTTTTGAAAAATAATATAAGTAAACATATAAATTATTCCCAAATCCTTAATAATTTATAGAAAAAGTAAAAAAAAAAAAACTATAATTATTTTAGAATAGAAGAAGTATAATTGTCTTCTGATTCAAAACTAATAAAGAATTTATGAGAAATTATCAAAAATTAAGTCGCAATACTCATTATGCAATTTATTAACTTTCTTTTGATTATCTGTCCAGCATTTCAGATGATCTTTCACTTTTGGAAGACAAACACTTTCTTCCGACCAACAACATATTGCTGATCAATTTGGTTTTCTCCTTCATTAATTTATGAAAATATACTAGATTACTTTGGTAAGGATTCTTGCATTAAGTTGGCGATGTGTCCAAAAGTTCAGTCATATCAGTGATTGAATATAGATCCATCTCCATACTCTGTTTCCCAAGTGACAGTTCTTCACTCTGTTTCTGGCATTTTTGGGGACTTTTGCAGCTTTTGATTAGAAAATACAGTCAAGTCCAGCATTTGCTCACAAAATATACCCAAAAAAGGGGAAAAAAAAAAAAGAGAGAGAGAGAGAAGCACTTCCAAACAGCCTATTCGAGAAGAATTAAGTAGAATTCTCTGACCATATGCACAAACAACAACAACAACAACAACAACAATATTATTGCAAAAGACAGCCAAATTTTAGAACATGATTCACTTTTTCTAAGAAGAACAATTCCAAAAGTGGAGTCAATGGAACCCAGGACCACCGTCCTAAAGGTCACGGAAAAGTGGGGTTTTACAATTTCTTTTTGAAATAATTCTTCCATTCCATAAAAGTGGTATCGGGTGGGTTTGGTTTAAACTAAAACCGAGATATTGGTTTACCGACGTTCTGGTAATTAAATTTTAGATTTTTTTTAAAAGTACAAATTAAAAGTATAATTTATATATCTTTTTGATATTAATTAATATTAAAATAATAAAAATTGACATTAATTTTATCAATAATATTATGCAAATCATTTTAATCAGATAATTGATTAAATAAAATTCAATTTTTATTTTTTCAATAACAATTAATATTAAAAAGATACTCTCAAGTTATAATCAAAAGGGTAATTAAATTGGTTAGAGCTAAAACTTTTAGGGTCTACGGTAATGTAATACCCAACCCTTATTCATTGGCATTCTTAATTCATTTTAAATATCTCACATATTGAGAAAAGAAATGGACAAAACTGACTTTAAGAGCATTTGATTGGACTGATTTTGTCATCTTCAACCTTTTTTTTACTTAAATAGCTGGTTAGGATATTTGATAAGATATTTTTATATACTAATTGCTTTAAAAAAAATTGTATACTAATTAAACTGTTGAATAATTAATTATAATTTTTTTATCAGCATTAAACTAAACGGGGCCTAAGTTTCACTCTTTTTTTATGTATATTTGGTTTATGTTAGGTAGATATTGATAAATTATAATGAGGAAAATGTGGTGGTAAAGCTACAATTTTCTAACTAAGGGGACGATTTTCTACTTTACCTTGGATGCTATTGTAGTGTAGGGTGGCCTAGAGGGTGGCAATTTATCTCCACCAATTCTTGTTTAGCCAACCATCTTTTATTTTAGGTAGTGGTGGGGAAGCTAAATGAAAATTTAGAATTAGATAGCTCTGGTTGTGTAATAAAATATAAGAAATTTCTAGGACAGCCTTGATCTTGGAGGAGACGCATACAAACAAGATGATATTTGTAGAAATTTGGTACAGCAGAAAAGGCAGCAGAGATAAGATAGAGTGGGGTTGGCGGCTGCCCAAAGAACAAGTGTTAGCACATCCAGTAGGTGTTCACAGTGTCCACCAAGTGAAGGGACTGATATGAGACCAGTAAAGAAACGATTTTTATAACAAATTGTCTACTTTCGGTATGAATGATTTCTATATTAAACTAGATTAAAAAAAAAAAGGGGGAAGATGAAGTAGGTCTACAATGCATAAGCTGAAAAATATATGAATGGAAATGAATGGAAAGAAATGAAGCAAATTTGCAAATATCAAAGTCTAGTTCTGTTGTCAAAATGATGCCATAGCTGGGGCCATGAACTGCAATTCAGTTGCCAAATAGAGGAAGAGCAAGTAACCAATTTAATCAATTAAATGACATTATCACATGGTTGTAATCTTCCACCTGCTGCTGGAGCAATCCGTTTGCAGAACCATGCTAAGGAAACCAACTGATTCTGGACATTTTAAGCATCATAGAAGACATGTTCTGGAGAAATGAGTGTGCCCTACTAGAGAATAAACAGATCTTCTGCCAGAGATTCAGGAAGACATGTTTGCCTTGCCACGTCTGCACCACTCGGCAAAAGCAAATTAACTATACAGCAGCTTATATAATTGCTTCCTATGTTACTTCCATGAAAATGCATTGAAACTGCCTCTACAACAATTTAAAGAAGAGAAAGGTTGTTCAAACATCAGAAATATCTCTATCTGAAAATGCTTTCATAATTGGAACTAGGCAAACCTTTAAGTACGTCTCAAAGAGCATGGTAGTGCCTGTCATATTTACGATCAAAGGATAAGTTGGCTGAGAGCAGCATTCTCTGGAAATGTTCCCGTGGATGCCTCCTCTATAAAGTGATATACTCGTTGCTTCCCACACTGCTGCTGCCACAGCTTCCAAGCACAGGTTAAGTTGGTTGCCAAACCCAAAGAACAAGTGTTGGCACATCCAGTAGGTGTTCACAGTGCCCACCAAGTAATGGGCTTGAAATGTGACCTATCAGGAAGTGATTTTTCTAAAAATTCTCTAGATTCAGCATTAATGGTGTCTATATTAAACTAGATCAAAAAGATGAAATAGGTCAACTATGCATAACTTGAAAAAAGTACAGAAACAGAAATGAATAGAAGAAAGAAATGAAGCAGATATCCAAGTTAGTTTTGTTACCAAAATGATGCCATAGCTGGGGCCTCATTCAGTTGCCAAACATAGGAAGAACAAGTAAAAAATTTAATCAATTAAATTGACATTCTTAGTCAGTTGTAATCTGTCACCTGCTGCCAGAGTAATCCATTTGCAGAACAATGCCGAGGAAACCAACAGATTTGGGACATTTTAACATCATAAGATACTGGCAGCAGATTCCCTCCCATGATTGTATACGATCACTATAATTCCTGCTCAAGATCAAATTAAGACAAATCTATGTTTTGTTACAAGAGAATAAACACTATTGGATCTTCTATAAGAGATTCAGGTATATGTTTGCCTTGACACATCTGACCACCTTGGCTAGTATTTCAGTTAAGATAAAGAAATTTACAAGCAAAACTACAGTAGCATAACACTTCCTTCTATGAAAATGCTTCAAAACTGCTGCCTCCATATACAATTATCTACAATTGAAGCAATGGAAAGGTTGTTCAAACATCAGCAATATCTCTATCTAAAAATGCTTTCATTATTGCAATAGCACAAACTTTTAAGTATGTCTCACAGAGCATGGTAATGGCTATCACATTTATGATCAGAGATTTAAGTTGCCTGAAAGCAGTATTCTCTGGAAATGATTTTCACCTGGAAGCAAATATAATCAAAACACCATCAGCCTGTTTTTCCATGAATTGCTAAAAGCAGTATTTTAACTTTCACTAGTACAATTTGCCCAAAAAAAAAAAAAAAATCAGCAAGCTTCAGAGCTACATCCTGTACTGAAGACACCACCTGCTTTGCAATCTTCACATTCACAACAAGTCACTAATCCCCAGTTGCATTCAAACTTTATATGCATTGGATGCAAAGCTATCTTTAAATTTGGACAAAGAAATAACTAGTTTTACAGGACAGCTGACAAATTTTGAAGTGTTCAAGAAAAAGCCAGTCTGTGGTTGAAGATAACCATTCCACCATCTCATCTAGGTAAGATCATCAGAATACAAAAGAAGTCAGATAATTAGGTACAATCATTCATTTGTACAGAAACAGATATTGCATCAAGACTTAAGAGATGACATAAGGTTGACCATACCAATTACAAAATTATACAGTTAAATGATTATATATTCATAGTTGTATTTAACTAAAAGTAATCTAGAGAATTGAAATTAACTTGATTTATCCGTGGATAAAATTCAATACATAACTTAAACATTTATTAGGTTCAAAAAGAATTATACCCAGTTTTGCTTTTTATTATAATAAAAATTATAGAGAAGCCTTCAATTTTTAATCATAAATTACTTAAGTTTCAAAAATTTTCAGCTTCCAACAACTATGATAACACCATGCAATTACATAATAGAAATCATTCCTTAAAATTGATGCTAAATTTGATATCCAGACTTTTAAAATAGTCAAAATGCTTTCATCCATGAATAACTTATTCATGCTCATGGACTTCAAGTGCACATTTATTTTACAATCATCAATGAAATTGTAGAAGATAAAATTTATTAACAATCAACTCTCTGCTTACTTACCAATCTGTTTGAATAATTTCAATCCTCAGCCTTGCTAGAGAGGCAGTGCTGCTGTAATCTAGGTATGATATCATCCTCCAAAGAAGCAAAAACAAAAAGCCATAAGTAACAACATGTGGAAATGGACAAAAAAAGGGCAACACTACTAAATTTAGAGATGCCCCCTAAATTAAAGGAAAGGAAAATTTGCAAATAGAAATGTTACAGAACAGATAGATAAGCAAATCAATCTAATTACCTGCATTATAACAGTTGAAACAAAATCAGAGCAACTTTCAGCAAGTTCTTTGGACACACTAGGCAGAATTGCATGTCCAACGCCAGAAACAATGTCAGGACTAAAACCAAACTCCTAATGTGTAGAAGCTGTAGCAGCTCCAAGGGAATGCCCATCACCCTTAACCTAAATCCCTGTAGATGAATTAGTCTTGCCACAGCAATGAAAAAGTAATTCTAATTCAAAATTAACCCAAATAAAGCAAAAACAAATAAGAGATGGAAAGGAGCCTGAGACTAAGCTCAAAAATTTAAATATAGAGTACAATATTCAGCACCTGATATTTCTCAAAACCCTTCCTTATTGTTGCCATTTCATAGATACAAAACCAACAATCAGCTTCAATGTGCCAAAATGAGTAGAATTAGAATAGCCTTCAAACGTAACTTCTCCATCACTTGGTGTTACAATGTTGGTAACAAAGTCATAGAAAATTTGAGTCTCACCAATACCTTGCATGTTTTTTATGAGGATCAATGCCTATATAATAGCCGGGCCTCATTACACTGGAATGCTTCACAAATTTCAAAATATTGCTTTCTTGAAGCAAGGCATTCCTTGCAAGGGCAGCTAGATTATCCCTACAGGCTATAGCATCCTTTTGCTAATTCAATGTGGTAGGTGAGATCTTGGACCTATATCATAACACATTTCCTCGATCAGGCCCTATGTTACAATAGACTAAACATGAAGCAATCTTAACTTGACTGCTCAAAAAAAAGGGTTTGGTAATTACAAGTGAATCTGACATAGTCTAAACTCCCCTAACATCCTCAAATGAATTTAAAGATGCATGCTGAAGGTATATAAGATATAACCCAGCTGTAAGATCACTCAACTCCAACCCCTCAATTCCTATCTCACTCCACGAAATGCTTGCAATGATTTGAGATACACAACGAATACTAGAAAGTTTGTTTCCTATCCCATTTCCTGGTAGGTTCGGATAATTAACCACCTATTATGACAAGCTGCAAAACTAATAGATTTCAAAATGTAGCAACAAAATATAAAGGTTTAAACTTTCGCAATGGCTAAACATAACTTAGTTTGTACATGCTCAAATTCTAGATTTTAATTCTCAAATCAAGTCAAACTATGAAAACATGGGAGCAAAACAAGGCCATATCGGCAGAACCCGTCTATACAGTTGCAGAGCTAGCAAGCTTTAATTTCCACTTACTATATCGACAACTTCATAACTGGAAGCGTTCTTGATGGGTTCATCCATCTTCTTTACGAATTTAAGCTTCAAGGAAACTTGACCCACATCCTTTGCTTCCTTGAATGCATCTGAGTCTACCTTTTTTGCTCTGAAAACCGCAACCGGCACCATAGACAACAAACCTTCTGCGAATTAGCGGTTGATGTCGAGACTATGGTTTGAATTGGATGGCATATTCGTGGCTCCAGGCATTCATCAATGGGCTTTTCTGGATTCAAAAGTTGAGTTTGATCCAGAAAATCGCCTGTTTTGTTTTTTCAACAGACCCTTCGGGCTATAAGCCAACCCTGAACTCCACGAATCATCATCAACGGACCAAAAAGAAAAGAAAGAAAAGAAAGGGCGAGAGGGACATTTTCATATGATATGAGGGACCTTTCAGATATTTACAAAAGTTAAATCCCCACTTTCTCCTTATAAATACCTCCATTCCAGCTAGGGTTTTGTATTCCATCATACAGCCGCTCCTCCCCTCTATAACTGCATTGCGGCTGCTATTCAAACTTTGGCTCCTAAGCCCTAAACCCCTTTTTTCTCAGAAAAAATTCACAACTGGATTTACTTCGGTTGATCGATACGTTCATGTTTCAGTTTAAAATATTCTGTCTTTTTGGGTCTTTGCTTTGGTTGTAAACTGGCGGAGGATGAAATGATGAATAATATGTTTCCCTATTGGTTTGATTGCCGGGATGATGGCATCAATCATGTATTAGCTCTATCTGATCATTCTCCCTAGCATTAGCATTCTGTTTTTCTGTTCTGGCTTCTGCTTTTTTTTTTTTTCTTTTTTTTTTATATATCAATTTCAGAGGTCTGGTTTGGGCAGTATAAACATTTTCACTAGCTGATTATATACATCATAACATTAATCTCTTCTGTTTTGGGTTGAGTGTTTCATCTCTGAAAATTCCTTTTCACAATTCTGGGAGACGCTGGAGCCTGCAGAAGTTTCTCTGGCAGACCCAAGCAAACAAAGCCCTGGCTCTCGTTTTTTTTTTTTTCTTTACATTGGGTGTTTTTCGCATCCTCTTTAATTTAGTGATACCAACACATCTGGCCTTTCTCTACTGTGCACCCAAATTAATTCAGTAATTAAGTAATTGCTTCTGACCATTGTAGATGTTCTGGAAAAGTCTGGGGCTTGAATGAGGATAGAGCTAGTTTAACTGGTAAATCAAATGAAATACAAAGCTATAAAGGACTGTCTTCATTGGATGAAATGTGATTCCAGGTCAAATAGGACGGACGGAGCTCAGATCAAATAAATCAGGCCTTTATTCAATCTAATAATCTTAAAAAAATTGGTATCTTTTCATGAGAAAAATTAATTCAGTCACGAATTCACTATGGTTAAATGAAGACTTGAACATTTGATATGAGGAGAAGTTGGTGACGCACAATTTTGATTTCTAATAATCATAACTTGTAAAGCGGTTGACCTACAGAGGTGGGGTTTTTGTCACCAGTTAAACAGAACCCTTGGCTAAGCAACATCTATCTACCATCATACTTTCTGAACAGAGCACTTCATAACTTGATCCATTTTGTCAGCCTAATCAGCAAATGAAGCTAAGCTATCCATTATCCATAGGAATCAACAGAGCTGCATACAAAGAGCAAAAAGAGCAAAAGAAATTAATGGCTAACAATCAAATGATATCAAATCCACATCTAACATAGAGAAGCAAGATTTAATCTGTCAACACTTGATTATCAAGATTCAAGCTGGAAATGTAATTTTTGGATTATTACCTTTCATTCCTAAATTACTTCCACAAGCCTTTAACCTGGCTCTGCTGTGCTGCACTAAAGCTCTAAGTAGAGCCTTCTTTTTCTTTTCTTCTACAAAGTTCTTTAATTCCACCTGAAAGGCATCAATCATACAAGGTACATAAATTTCTTAACTTTACTCACCCCCTGTTGAATATGTGTCGTTTCCTCTCCTGAAAGGTCTAAGCTGCTAAAACATAGAGCCAAGTTCAGATACATGATTGGTAACTTTAGTTGCCCAACTAATCAACCAGCAGAGTAAACTGATGTTTGATAAGATGCTGCCTTGGTTCAGCTAGGTGTGATGCTGCAAAGTGATGAATTTTACCCTCCATTTATCCAACTGGAACCAGGGCAACTCTTTCCTACCCCTAGTTGGTCCATAGCTTGCCTGATATTTTCTACCTCACTCCATCGATTAGCTTCAGCATGTATGTTAACTAAAAGGGCATAATGCCCACTATTGTTTGGCTCTAAAACCATCAATTCCTTGACTGCAACTTTAGCAATCTCCAAATTCTTGTGAAGCTTACACCCACCCAACAAGCAACACCAAATAACAGAGTTGGGTTCCAATTTCATGCTTCTTATCAAGTCTAGTGCATCTTCTAGTAATCCAGCTCTGCTCAATAGATCAACCATGCATCCATAGTGTTCGATTTCAGGAGGAATCAAATAATCATGCATCATGCTCAGAAACAACTTACGGCCTTCTTCAACTAGCCCTGCATGAGCGCAGGCTCCAAGAATACTGATGAAAGTAACCCCATTTGGTTTGACAGCCTCTCTTTCCATCCTGCTAAACATAGCCAGTGCTTCTTCTGTATAACCATGACGTGCAAGCCCTTCAATTATTGAGTTCCAACAAAACAAATTCTTCTCTCTCAATTTGAAGAACACCAAAAGAGAACTGTCCAAACTCCCACATTTAGAGTACATATCAACTAGTGCAGACCCAATATAAACATCAAGATCAAATCCATTTTGCACCACATAAAGATGTATTTCCCTTCCTATATCAAGTGCTCCAATATGAGCACAAGCTGAAATAATAGTTGACATGGTCACTTCATCAGGACTGAACCTGTTTGCTCTCATCTCATCAAAAACAGCCAATGCTTCTCTAAATTGCTTGTTCTGAGAATAACAGTTGATCATTGTAGTCCATGATATTATATCCTTTGCAGGCATTTGATTGAAAAATGACTCTGCTGATTTCACATCCCTAATTCTTGCATATCCATCAATCATGGTGTTCCATGCAGCTGTATTCCTTTCTGGCATCTCCTCGAATAATCTACTTGCAGAACTCAAATCCCCAGCCCGAACAAGAGCCGCAACCATCGTAGTCCATGCATAAACATCTCTCTCAGGCATTTCATCGAACACCTTTCTTGATTCCATAATTTTACCCATATTAGAGTAAAAATCAACCAATGAAGTTTGAACAAACGTATGCGATTCCAACCCAAGTTTCCAAATGTGCCCATGAACGCCTTCCCCAAACCGCAACGCTGACACCAAACCACAAGCCTTAACCAACAAAGTATATGTAAAACTCGTAGGACCGACCATGGCTCTCAGCATATGCATGTAACATTCCAGAGCTCGAATTGGTTGATTGCAGCCGACAAAGCACTTGATTATAGCATTATAGACAAAAACGTTGGGTTCTTCCATCTGGGTAAATGCTAAAATTGCATAATCTATGCAATGAAATGAAGTGCAGGCACTGACGAATTGGTTTACCAAGAAGCAGTCTTGCATTGCATTTGTCTTGATCATGGTGGCATATACACGCTCCAGCTCCTTTAAACTCGAACAAATCCTGATTTGTTCGACTATGGTGTGCTCAAGAGTAGGAATTGAAGGCTTTTGCAAAGGTTTTGGGATTGAAAATCGATTTAAGTTGAGGATGGTTTTCATGACCTTAACAGCCATTCTGCTGCCGGCAATTTCAAACTTCAAATACAACTATGGAATAATTAACTGTGATATTATAAGAACGATAAGAATCTATTTATGTATAAATCTAAAGATATATTAAAGCAAAATCAAAAAATCCTTTTTGTGTTCACACTTTATGTTCACACTGTGTGTTCACATTTGTTCATACTTATCTAAAGATATATTAAAGCAAAACCAAAAATTCCTTTTTGTGTTCACACTGTATGTTCACATTTATTCACACTTATAAACTATATAATTTTACCTTTTAAATCCCTGAACTAGATCAGAACTGGATTGAAACCAGTTCAAATACTCTCTTTCACACTACATCAAATTTAATGATAGGGGTAGAGTTATTATTATATCCTAAATAATTAATGTCATACATTTTTAATATAAAATACCCATTATACCATTACATTATACATTTTCTTAAAATTCTACATTTTTTTATTTCTTAATAAATTAAAAG